CACTCAGTGTTGCTTTTTTATTTTTTATTTTTAGCAGATGTGATTACCCTTACAAATCATCTAAAGGCACATTTTATTCATTTTTGTGTGTTGTCAACTGATTTCAAAAAAGTATGGCCAAGGAACAAACATTTCATTTTGTGTTAGTTATATTTATATATGGACCTTTGACAATTTACAGATTATTGCATGTATTTTTTTTTCATTTTAGAAAATATTTATTGTAATAAATGCTTTTAATATTATTCTTAAAGGATTGGGAGAATCTCTGTGAATGGTCAGAAGTCCTATTTCGATCCGATTGTTGTCTTGAGCAAATTAAAGATGTCCAGTGGAGTTGAACTGTCATCTGTGAATGTGCACACAGAGTTCAGGAGAGAATTATGAGTTATGTTTTTAGTGCTGTTTATCGATCTTTGCTCTCAGTTCTAAACCCAATTCCAATGAAATTGGGATGGTGTGATGAATAAAATCAGAATTACAGAGTTACAATGATTTGCAAATCATTTTCAAACTATTAATTCATTCAATGCATTACAAAGACAAGATATTTAATGTTTAAACTGATAAACTGTATTGTTTTTAGCAAATAATCATCAATTTAGAATTTTATGGCCGCGACAGACTGAGAAAGTTGAGGAATGCTCATCAAACACCTGTTTGGAACATCCCAGTGGTGACCAGGCTACCTGGGAACAGCTTGTTGCCATGACTGGGTATAAAAGGAGCTTGCCTGAATTCCTCTGTCATTCTCCTGTCTCAATGAAACTATATTAGACTTGTCGAAGAATGTTTATAAATGGCCTACATTGGTGGCAGCTTTGGGATTTGTGCCCTGGCATTTCTCTTAGAACAAAAACACTTAGGAACATGTACTCTTTTTAAGCAAACCTGCTGGCCTCGTTTATTCGGCACGATTCTGGGTGAATACTGCCTCATACTTCCTGTCATTCCCGGTGCAAGTAAAGTGCTTTGTGTGCATCGGTGGAGATTTCTTTCTTTTGGCATTTTGCTCGACTTTGCACAGGTAAACTTGAGTGTAATGGGGCGTTTGCGCCATTGTGTGTCATAGGATGAAACAGCGTTTTCTTGGCCAATCATAGGAATCCTTCATTTGCATTAAAATGAGCGTGTTCGGAGTGCATGCCAGCTCGGCATTGATGAACCAGAAATAGACTCTCTGTAGTCCGTGCATAACTTGGCACGTAAACTGCAAGATCCCTCCTTGCGGATGATGTAGTCGGCCACGCATGCGACAAGTGCAATGACGGACTGCCCGTTGTTGAATATAGTTGTGCCATGCAGTCAGGGCAGTACTATTAAGATGATCATGAACAAAATTCATTAATGAACTGATTTCATAATGAACTGATTGCTAGAGTGATTCAAAAGGATTATCCCACGCTGGTGTCATTTTTAAAAAAGAAATGGATGACATCCAGCAACATCACTAAATCGTTGATTGATCGGTGGGTGCGGAAGTAACACCGAGTGAGGCATAGCTTGTCTACCAAATGACAAACACTCTTGACTTGTCGCGGCACGAAAATAGAGATGCGCCTGTTTTTTAGGCCAGGCGCAGACTACTTTCTCTTACCAAATTAGCAGGTGCGTCGGGGGGGGCGGCAACTTCTTGCGCCGGAATACCCAGTGACGCACATCGCAGTCCCAAACACACGTGACCAAACTTGCACAACCAGCCCAGCATCAAGATACTGAAATGATACTCAAAGATGCCAAGTGGCGCCACACAATATCGCATTATCGATATTATTGCGATATTTGTACCTTAAGAAATGACATCTGCATGATATAATGAAAGAAATGATTTTTTTTCGTATGGAAAAATATGAATGTATTCTTATCTAATTAAGTTAGTTAGTGTTAGTAATAGGGCTGCCACAATTGTTTTGCGAGTCAAATGATCACCAACACTAGTCGTAATTAGTCGACTCAACGGATCATATGCAAATCACAGAAAATCGCACCACCAAGCAGATGCTCTTACAGCTGGAATTCTTTAAGGTACGGTATGTACAAATTAATTATAAAGACAATTAAGATGATGAGATATTCAACTTTCTTTGATTAAACATGGCAGCTTGTACCAGCATTCATGACATATTGATAATATATAAGGGAGCATTTTGAATTGAAGGTGATACTATGGCTTTGAAATGTGTAGCTGTAGTTTCATGCTTTTTAAAATGGAGCCAAAACTCTACACTATGCAGCGTTACACTAATAAAGTGCAACTATCTATAAATACGAAAAATAAAACTTGTAAACATATTTTACTTTTCTTGAGCACCATGCCTTTTTTTTTTAATACTAGATGATCTTGAAATCAGAGGAGTAAATTTGGAAAATGCACTTTGCGAAAGAAAACTAAAAACAGTATTGATTTTTAATTTTGTTTTAATTTAACCTTTATCCCAAACGTTCAGTTTTTCTTCACTAGTGAGTTAGCATGTGCCTTTTTTTCAGCACAAATGTTGCATACACTGCCACTACTGAGTATATTAAAAGTGGTGTGTCCTCATGACTTCCAATAATAGCATCTGATATATATATATAAACGCATGTAATCATAATCCGTCATATGCCATTTCTCGACCATCTCCATGCATGCCAGTGAGTCATTCACTTATGCCAAAATGAATCACGAAGTTGGGTCAACTGATATCAGCTTTGTGCGCAGACACAGAAACACTTTTCAAGGTAAACCAACAGGAAACAACAGATCATTGCTACCTTCCCGGTTGTCTCACTGTTTTTACATGACTTTTAATTAATGAATCAGTTTTTCTGCAAATGTGTGATCACAGAAGCACACTTTTTTTGTTTAATCTCCAGCTACTCAACTCAACTTTATTTATAGAGGTGTCTTATGTTTCATCATCAGTCTTTTGGAATTACCGCAATTTCCGGACTATAAGCCGCTACTTTTGTCACACACTTTCAACCCTGCGGCGTATTTAATGATGTGGCCTGTTTAAACATTTTTCCAATGACCGCCAGGGAGCGCTCGAGCAGAAAAGTTAACAGTGAGACGCTATCATGTGTCACAGTGAAAACAATCGGCCATTAGAGGGCGCACTTCTCCCGTGTTTTGCGCTGGACTGCAATCCGAAAGCTTGTGTGGCTGGGTCTAGGACAGACTTAACCGTACACAAAATCATTTTTAAGAAGGCTTTATTCTTCACTGAACATAGAAAATGTACAGCATTAATAAAATAAAAGACTGAGATATGTCAAATGTGACTAACAAATAGAAAAGTATACAAAAATAGACTACAGTAGTGGCTTGTAAGCACTTTCCAGCATGTGCCCGAAACACGCGGAAAACAACTAATCTCCCCTGCTTCATTGCTGTTCACGCGACCCACCATGCGACACCGTTCCAACTCGATATTTTACTCTTAACCCATTTAATCCCAAATTTTTCCCAGACATTTAAAAGTCAAAATCAGGTGTCATTGCTAGCACTTTTAAGTAATCAGTAATAAAAAATTTTAGAGCCCTGTAAATTAAATCATTGTTGTCCTTCACAAATGTAACTGGTGGGATAAATTGGGTTAATATCAGCCGGGTTACAATGCCGATTGCAGATACATCAGCTCAGTGTTCGTCTCCCTTCGTGGTCCCAGTCTCACGAGATTATCCAACGCTCCTTTTAAAGTGGCAGTGCCCCATTTATTAAACGAGGCAGCATTCACTACAACAATCATAGTATTATTCACCTGGTTACGTACGCCAAAAGAAAACCCCCCGAAAGACATTGTCTTGAAAGTTGACACAAAAGCATGGATGGTAGAAAGCCTAATGAAGGAATGGTTGACCGAGTGTTACGGCAGGGAACGGTGACTTTTATTGATTTATTTTTTAAACCAGCCATGTGAGTGCTGTTTTACTGCCGTTGTGCTGCCGCGTTACAGGCAAAGAAAAGTTAAGGTATGTTATTAAATGTCGAAACCTCTTTCTGTGTACCGTCTTTCTTTGCAAATATCTCATGTTACAATATGGAGACCTGTGGCTTATAGACAGGTGCGGCTTGTGTGTGTACAAAATGTTTTTTCCTTTAAAAATGTAGTGGTTGTGGCTTATAATCAGGTGCGCTCCATAGTCCGGAAATTACAGTACACAAAATCTCGCAATTTCCTTGAAACTCTTGGCAAGCTTCCAAAAGCAAGAAACCAGGTGTTACCTGTTCTGTTGGTGCTGATCTACAAATGCTGTCTTCTTACAGCCACGTGGTCTGAATGGGCACATTACATACAATAGTGAGTAGCCCAATACGGTTCTAAATGTAACTTTTTGAAATAACAGCCAATTATGCCCAATTTTATTGGCATGATGTTATTCATGGTTGGGACTGGGGTTTGCAATGCTGTAGCACTGCACCACGTAATACCGATAGTTGAAACATTTTGGACATAACTTGAGACAATAAATACAGTATTTTCAATTACGTGGAACAAATCCTCTCATCAAAGTCTGTAAATGTGATTTGTCACTGAGAGGTGAGATGATTGGCTTTGTGACGATGCAGGTAATCCCCCAAAGAAAGGCTGTATGACGTCCATCTCTGAGCAGATGAGAAGTCTGTGGATTAGCTTTGAAAAACACACGCACACAAAGCCCTCCTTGATAATTCATAGGCTCACCAACCATACCGTGTCAATGTGTTGTCAGACACAGTGATACAAATAGAGCAAAATGGGACGGCAAAGACAGAAGACGGCGTTGTGCTAGATGTGTTTTTTTAGCCCGAATTTCATTTTGGATGCTGTTTTTCCCCACCAGATACTATCATTAGTTTTTCGTACTTGCGGGACCAACATTTGTTGTTCTTGTGAGGTTGTAGAGTCAAAATGACAGTCATCTGTTTATCAAAGTGAGGATCTTAATTTCTTGAAAATATTATTGAAAGGGTAGCCAGAAAGATACGTGGTAAGTCTCTGGAAACAACTGTAAACAATTTCTGTCTCTTTTTGCAGTGTGCCTACTGTGCCCGTGAAGAATCTCAACGGATCAAGCCCTGTTCACCCTGCACTGGCAGGTGAGCTCTTACCACATACACATGCTACGGCATTTGGCCGTTCTCATCAAAAATAATAGTATATGACAATCAATCAACAACCTTTTCCAACTCAATTCATTCAATTGCCTTATATTTCAGGGATCACGGGCATTCTGATGAGTGCTGCTGCTCTGCCCGTGTGTCTTACAAGACCTCCGAAACTTGTACTACACCCTCCTCCTGTCAGCAAGAGTGACATCAAACCAGTGCCAGGCTTTGGCCACTGCTGCAGAAAGACTACCAAGAAGCAGGCTCGTAAGGGTAAGCACTGTGTTCAAAGGAAACCAGGGATGTGCTCACAACAAACACATGTGGATTCATCCAGTCCCTGTACTTTAATATTTATCTCATCAATTGTGCTTTAATCTTATCGGCAGGTAAGACTCCAGAAGATGTGGTTAAGAAGTACCTGCAAAAAGTCAAGAGTCCACCAGATGAGGTTAGACCAGCTATGCTTTCAGAACACATTCATGAAAAGATCGGGGAAGGGTGAGATTTTAATTTCTTCTCTCTTCATGACTGCTCTACCAGGATTGTACCATATGTATGGAGCCTTTAGGGGGTCCTTCTGGATACAAAGGTCCAGGGGTGGGACCTGTTTCCAGAGCAGAATCTGTTGGACGACTAGCGCAATGTGGACATCTGTATCATTTCCAGTGTCTGGTGGCCATGTATAATAATGGCAACAAGGATGGCAGGTGGGTCTGAAAATAGGGAAGAAAACAGACTCCAAAGCTGGATTTTCACTGCAGGTCCAATTGCACAGTTACGATTTAATGCCCATACGTGACACACATACTTTGACTCTTTTTTTACATTCAGGGAGCAAATAAAGTAATGCACATACACAGATGCCCAAAATACATGTAAATAACTCCACAAGTGACAACTCTGAACAGAAACAATACAATAACAAATGAAGACCGTAATACTCATTTATTTACCGTTTTGTTGCCCTGGACTGGACTGCCTCCCCGCTGCTCCATTGAAATCAATTCCATCAAAGTCCGTAAATATACCAAATGTCTTCCTTTTGTACCAGCCTTCAGTGTCCCACCTGTAAAACAATCTATGGTGTAAAGACTGGAAACCAACCAGCAGGGAAGATGGAGTACCACATCATCCCTCACTCACTACCGGGGCATCCCGACTGCAAAAGCATCCGCATAATCTATAACATCCCACCAGGCATCCAGGTATTTGAAAAGAAGTTAGCACCCCCATGTGTTAGTTTGAATTACATTGATATTTCTGGAACAATGATGTTGATCTTTGTGGGATTTCATCTCCTCGCGTGTGATCAGGGTCCAGAGCACCCGAATCCAGGGAAGCCCTTCACAGCCAGAGGCTTCCCAAGACACTGCTACCTCCCAGACAGTGACAAGGGACGCAAGGTAAACGTCCTTCACCCTACTGTAACTGCTGCTTGCACACACGACTTTGTCGGAACACCTTTTGCTGTTCCATCATGATTGTGCCTCACAGCATAAATCAAGGACGGTAAAGGTGTGACCGGAAGTATTTGGTGTGTACGATCTGATTTGTCTTGTCTTGTCCTTTACTAATATTCCTGTCGTAGTAATGGCCAGGCATCCATCTACTCACCGGAGTTTGGCAATTTTCCTGTGCATGATTTATAATGTCATCCTATCCTTTATTTATAAGAACATTTGTTACCAGGTATTGAGACTGCTCCTGGTAGCATGGGACCGCAGGTTGATCTTTTCAGTTGGGACTTCAAGCACTACAGGAGAATCTGACACGGTTATATGGAATGAGGTACATTCTTGAGATCGTCGATTCATTGCTGAAATATACTAGAACAGTCATATCTGATTCCAGTGAATGAATTGTCCCCTTTTTTCTTTAGGTCCACCACAAAACAGAGTTTGGCTCTAACCTGACAGGTCATGGTTTTCCTGACCCTGGACACCTGGACAATGTTCTGGACGAGCTCCGCGCTCAGGGCATCACAGAAGATGACGGATTGACAGAAAAGTGATCACTTGTGCAACCGGGGATGACATTGATGAGACACTTTTTTGAGGGAAATGAAATAGAGAAGAGGAATGGAAAAGGAAAAGACGTCAGTCTGGCACTATTTAAAAGGGGTGCAGCAAACATTTGGAGCATTTTTGTTAAAAAAAAAAAAAAGACTTTAAAAAATATTGTTTCTGGTACTTTTCCTGTCATCGTCATTCCAATACTGGATGGATAAATCCTCATTCAAGGAATGAGTAGATGGCGGAAGAAGGTGTTATTTGCTACTCAGGATCTACAATAGGTACTAACAGTCTACGAGTGGAGTGAAATGGTACTAATAACAAAGAACAAAAACAAGTTTTACTTTACTGAGTGCAGTAGTAGAAGATGGTATGTTTGAGCAGGGAAAAAAAATGGAAGGGGCCAAGAAAGAGAGATGTCTGATGCAGGGGAGAGTAATGCAGGAAAACGGTGGCCAGCCGCAAGAGAGAACAAGGGTTTCTGAATGTAGTGTAGGATAAGAGTAAAGCTAACTTGTATGGTACTTCACAGTTGCTAGTCTGGGCACCATAAACATGACAAAAATCCATCAAGAATAATGGCCAAATGGTGGGTTGGAAGTGAACCCCCCTTTACTCTCCTTTGGTTTGTGTCTTGTCAATGACGCGTTGCTATGTTGCTCCCTCTTGTGGTTTTTATGCTGGACTACACTCAGCCTGAAAGTCCTGAAGGCACATTCATGTTGCCACCGAGCGGTGGTTCTCACCATTGTCACTGTATTGCTTAACTTTTTGGGGACCAAGCGGAGCACAGTTGTCAATGTGTATTAAATGACAAACAACTCAACCAAGGACCTTTCCCCTGACCGTCTTTTGTGTCCTACAAATGACAAGCTGAGGTACTTGCAAACCTTCATTACTCGAAGATACCAGAATTGATGTGTAAATCCTCGAATATGTGTTGAAATGAATGAATATCTGGACTGTAGTTTTATTTCCTCCTGTGCGACCGCTTGCACTCATCCAATGAGATATCTTTGGAGCACAATGTGTTTTTTTTTTCCCTCTGCTGACAGCAAATTAGCATATTCGATACTGTGAGATTTTCATTCCGCACATTTCTTATCACTTTCGCTCTTTCAGCAGCAAGTGATCATGCACTGCCCGCCCACTTCCTGTTTTGGGTCTGTCTGGTATCTTCACGGTTCGAGTGAGTGCATGTGTGTTGCGAGAGAAAAGTTGTGTACAGTTTATACCGCCAACATGCTCTTAAGTCAAGAGTATTTTTATTTCTTTTCTATTTTCTGTAGTCATGATATCGTTTGGAAACTTAAAGAATGACGAGAATGATAACTCATTGTATTTTTTTTTCAACTCGTATGCTTACAGGTTATTATGTTTTACTCCTGTTATTATGTCTTAATGTGAAGTGTAGCGGCAACTTTTATGTACAATAGTAAGGTATATTCCTGACATGATCATAGGTAATAGGTTTTGTTGGACGTGTGTTCATTATGTGTTTGGGTTTTTTTTTTTTTTTTGGTTTTTGTCACTTTGGTTTTTGTGGTTTTTAAGCTGGACTACACTCAGCCTGCAAGTCCTGAAGGCACATTCATGTTGCCACCGAGTGGTGGTTCTCACCATTGTCACTGTATTGCTTAACTTTTTGGGGACCAAGCGGAGCACAGTTGTCAATGTGTATTAAATGACAAACAACTCAACCAAGGACCTTTCCCCTGACCGTCTTTTGTGTCCTACAAATGACAAGCTGAGGTACTTGCAAACCTTCATTACTCGAAGATACCAGAATTGATGTGTAAATCCTCGAATATGTGTTGAAATGAATGAATATCTGGACTGTAGTTTTATTTCCTCCTGTGCGACCACTTGCACTCATCCAATGAGATATCTTTGGAGCACAATGTGTTTTTTTTTTCCCTCTGCTGACAGCAAATTAGCATATTCGATACTGTGAGATTTTCATTCCGCACATTTCTTATCACTTTCGCTCTTTCAGCAGCAAGTGATCATGCACTGCCCGCCCACTTCCTGTTTTGGGTCTGTCTGGTATCTTCACGGTTCGAGTGAGTGCATGTGTGTTGCGAGAGAAAAGTTGTGTACAGTTTATACCACCAACATGCTCTTAAGTCAAGAGTATTTTTATTTCTTTTCTATTTTCTGTAGTCATGATATCGTTTGGAAACTTAAAGAATGACGAGGTTTTACTCCTGTTATTATGTCTTAATGTGAAGTGTAGCGGCAACTTTTATGTACAATAGTAAGGTATATTCCTGACATGATCATAGGTAATAGGTTTTGTTGGACGTGTGTTCATTATGTGTTTGGGTTTTTTTTTTTTTTTTGGTTTTTGTCACTTTGGTTTACAATTTTAATACAATGGCTTTTTCAATTTTCATTGCATACAGTGAAGTAAGGCTGGTTTGAAACATCTTTTCTTTGGAAAAGGAATGTGATGATATACTTTTATTTGCGTGTCAAATGAATTTATAATGCACCTAAAACCCTTTTAAACTTTCATTTTTTTGGATGGTTTGAGAATGTTCAGAGGTGATTATTTTGGATTGAATTTTTTTTTTTGAGTATCCTTGCATTTTGTCCAATCTCTTGCTCTGATGACCTAAACATGTGTTCATTATATTGTTGAGATCTAATGTCTTGATGAAGAGTGATATTCTGATGTATTATGTGCAGTGTTTGAGCTATTTGAGCAATGTGGAAAAAGGCAAATACCTCATTCATGTTTTGTTCCTTCTTTCAAAGCAAAATTTCTTTGCCATTCGCGGTTTGTCCAGAGTTCATCCTCCTGATGTGAATTTTTGGGATTGTGTTGGTCTGAAGGGAGTCAGAAAAAAAGTGTGTCCCCCTACATGACGGACAACATGTAATTACAAAAATGCTTGAGTACGACTGATTAATACTGTACATGTAAGAATAAACAATGTATGAAACCCTGGCATATTTCTGATTTAATTCCATATTATTTCCTTGTGTAATTTTATTGATGCTACTTATAATCACTCATGGAGAAACATAATTTACATTGTGCTGTATATTCTATCACGCAAACAACTAGACCTGGCATGGAAGGAGACTTCTTGATTGAACCGTACTATAGATTATACGTTCTGTAGTTCACTGATTCAACCATTCACACATCACACACCAAAACTGGAAACTGAACCCGCCCTGTCCCCCGCCTACTGCCCGAAGACGGCTGGGATAGGCTCCAGCACCCCCGCGACCCTTGTGAGGATTAAGTGGATCAGAAAATGGATGGATTTTGGAGTGGTCACGTTAATTTAATTTTAGCCATTTCTGTCATTTTTCTCGCATCTCGTATCGATTAATCCCCCCTGTACCAGTGAGACATTAAATAATCCTGGAGTCATACGTCTGGAAAAAGTCTGGAAGTCACATGTTGAGCAACTCACAAACTTAATTTTTAAATCATGGAATTTAGTGTCATAGAAATGTTAATACATTAAATTAAAAATCAAGGGTACTACGGTTTGCCTACAATATGATGATTTATTTTTTAACAGAGTTGTTTTCAATTAAGGTACCTAAATGTGTCGATAGCATATATTCCAGTTCAATAACCCTACCCGACTTTCTTTTCTTTACACAGTTAACTTTTTGGGAAGTGACATTACAGGTTCTTAAAATGCTTCATACAATAACTGTTGGTCCACCAGCAAATCAAATCAGGAGAGAATCAAGAGGAGCGTACTCGTCCGCGCCCGAATGCGTGCTCGTTCACGTCATGTCCAAACGCACGTTCACGTGAACGTAACCAGTGCGTCACTCGCGCGCTGTTTCACTGTTGATGCGCCTACCTACCCTGAAAGATGTTTCGATTTCAGGTGAGTAACCCGAATATTAAATGCTGCGTTTCGGGAAATAGCTCACATTTTAAAAAGCAACACTAATGGCAGTTATATGAGGAATCTTGCAACTGCCTCTTTGGCGGCCTGTGAAGCAGCCCACTTGCCTGCTGTACTGAGCCGCAGGAGGAAGAACAGCGCGGCACTGTCTGCCTGCTCACCGCGGAGGTTGACGTCAGCTCTGTTTTCCCCCCTAAATCATATGGTTACCCAACCTCTGTTTGTCGGTGGTGGTAAAGGATGCCCAAACTACACAGCGTTGGTCAAGTTTCGGGTTGATATTGGAGGTCGTGCGTGATGCAAGATAACGTCAGGATTAGCATTGTTGCTAATGAGTTGTCCTGTGTGGTGACAGACAAAACACCCGAAGAGAATGCACAGATTCTCACTGTCTTTACTATTTGTAGCCTCGTGCTCAGGTAACTGGGAAGCCACTAACTTGGAGGTGAAACTGCGGTCACATCTTGGACGTACGTTTTAAGTCTGCTTTAGACAAAATTCACGGACATCGTGCTCAGTCATCGCAGACTCCGTTATCTAACCCGTCGTTATCCCAATATTTTCCATCTTATTGGCAATCTTTGTGTTGCCATTAATTACGCACGGGAGCTTTAGTTGTTTCAACAAATAATTATCTCTCACATTTAAAACCCGAACTTGTTAGCTTAATGCTACCCACAAGAGAAACGTAGCTAGCAAAGCTACAATAAATTGGCAAAAGTAGCTAGCTTACCCTAAAGCTCCTACAGTTAGGTAGAGCCTTTAAAAGAAAAACAACATAAAATATTGGGTGTTATTGTACTATAAAAAACACTCTCACTGCCATTGTAATGCAGATGACAAATGCAGTGGCAGCACTGTGTTATTAACTCAATATTATTTACTAAAACAAAGTAATTACAGATTTGGTAGTCATTCTCTTCTAATTTAGCGGGTTTTTTTTTAAAATATGTAATGTCAAATGAATTATTTCAGTAGACCACAACAAATTTGCTTTATCAAGAAATCAAATTGCTGTAATAAATAACAACTTGAAGTTATATTTTTCCAGCTTCATCTGTCTTCGCTTTTTTTATCTCTTGTCTAAATTCCTTTCACACACACACACACACACACACACACACACACACACACACACACACACACACGCGTCCCATTTAATTCGATTGCTGCCAAAATCATGATGCTGTGTCGTGCTATGTCAGCTGTTGGTGTTTGCAGAGTTGTGATGTCTACTTTAGCTGTTAACTGTTATGTGTGTGAGTGCCTGTGTCCTTAAATTGAATGTTGGAGGAGCTTCTTGGGTTTACACAGTAATTCCTGGCAAGTATTCTGTGAAGAGGAGACTTGATAAGTAACATGAATGTGTTAAGGCAGGGCTGGACAATTATTTTCTCGGGGGGCCAAATGAGAAGCAGAAATTATTGTGGAGGGCCGGGCCAAAGGTTAGAAATCTACTCCCGATTTCAATTTTATTTCTACACTGAAGAAGCTGATAAGAGTATGTATTATTGCTAGATAATGAAAGTGCAGTTATTTTACAGAAAAATGATTTCTTCAGTGAAATTATGCAATACAATTCTAATTGTGTAACATTGGTAACTCTTTTTCAGTAAGATGAACACTACAATGCTTTCTGATTTTAACTTTCCCATGAAGATAGCACAATGTCTTTGTATGCCAGTAATAATGTAACATAACTCAAATTTTTTGTCCCAACTGCCAAACAATGTAGAAAAAAAATACAAGCAAGCATGTTTCAGTGTTTTTTTTTTGTTTTTTTTTTCTTGTTCAGGAGAGATCAATCTAGCCCAGGGGTGGGCAAACTTTTTGGCTTGGGCGCCACATTGATTTCTAAATTTGACAGGTGGACATGGTCAGCACAAGATACGTTACATATAAAAAAATGTATATGTTGACAGTCCATACCAAACATCAACAGAACAAAAGTATTAAAGTATTACCATACTTCTTTTTTTTTTAATGAGAACAGTGAAACAACTGTGATGAACGTCCAAGTATGTTAACAACATACATGTGGGACAACACAAGCAACAAAATGCAACGATATATTGCCCAAAAACTGCAGCATACAGTACAGGTATATGACAAAATATAACAAAGTTAGGACTATTTGCTCCAAAATGAGACAAGTAAAAGACCTGGTGGCTTTCTTTCCACTCACTCACTGTCTCCAACTTCACCTCCCCTCGATCACCACACAAGACAGCGTTGCTCAGCTGATGTCGTGCAACGAACTTTTGAACCCAGCCACGGGACGCTTCGAAGTCTTCGATGCCCATAGCGCTATGGAACTCGATTGCTCTCTTATTAGCGGTCCAGTTTGCGGAAAGTTTTTAGCACGATAACAGTCAAACCATTTCAGGAAACGTTTATTTACTTGACTGTCTGTAGAGCCGCATACAATTCACTCTGAACATGGAAACACCCAGAATCGGACTGAGCAAGAATCGCTTCCTCGTTTTTCAAAGTCTCGTAGATTTGAGTCTTTCAGACTCCAAGCGTCTCTTGAATGTTTCGTACTTTGTAACCCGCTTCGTTTAATCAGATACA